CACTCACCTCAGCCTCCCAAAGCGCGGGATTACAGGCTGAGCCACCAAGCCTGGCTACCTTTTATGTTTTTACACAAAGGGAGGAGGAGTTTGGGGGAACTTTGCAGTCCTGTTACCATTTAATTGGGTAGTAACCTCTGGTGGTCAGCTCAGTCGTGGAGGATTGGCTAGCTTGACTCGGGCTGACCTTGGCCCACTAGCTGGGGAAGTTGCAGAGACGTTTGGAAACTTTAGGTGATTTTCCCCTGGCACCTGATTGGTTGTAGCTAAGGGGAAAGTGGGTCAAGGGAAGGGGTTGAAGCTTGAACTGGAGCTTTGCAGTTTTTCCCATAACTGAAACTTTAAACAGCTACAGGTTATGTTTTAAAGAAGAAAACTAAAATGGTTGTGCTATTGTCCACAAGCCGATTACATATTTATTGGGTTATAGCATGCTCTTAACCTAAGTTTATGTTATATACTCTATTACGGTTCTCTCAATCAAAGTTCAACAAGAATTTTTAGGGGAAAATTCAAAATGTGTATGGAAAAATAAAAGTCAGTGAAAAAGGAAAAGGGAGAGGATGTGCTATCAGTATTGACATAAGAATTGACAAATAGCAAAAGCAACACAACAAAGAACTCAGTGTCAGACTTTTGTACAAATGGGAATTTAAAAGATGATAAAAATAGCCCCATAGTCCACAGCAAAAGACACATTGTTTAGTAAAAGATGTTGAGAAAATGAGCTCAACTACAGAGGAAAACAGAACCAGATCCATACCAAACAATGCAAATAGTCAATGTCTCTAAATGAACTAAAGAATTAAATATGCAGAGTAAAAGATGGGTTAGTAGAAAAAAATACAGGAAGTATTTTTGTGACCCTGGGATGGGAGAGATCCTCTACTAATTAGGCACTGGATTTTCTTTCTTTTTTTTTTTGAGTTGGAGTCTCACTCTGTCATCCAGACTAGACTGCAGTGCCCGCTCCGGGTCACCGCAGCCTCGACCTACTGGGCTCTGGTGAACCTTCTGTCTCAGCCTTCCAAGTAGCTGGAACTACAGGCTTGCGCTACCACGCCTGGCTAATTTTTGATTTATTGTAGAGATGAGGTCTCGCCAGGTTGTCCAGGTGGGTCTCAAACCCACGGGCTCAGGCAATCCACTCACTCAGTCTCCCAAAGCGCTGGGATTACAGGCTGAGCCACTGAGCCCCGCTAGGCACTGGATTTTCAACTAAAGAAAAAAAATTAGGCTTTAAAAAAATCAAATTTTAATTTGGAGTCTTACTAAGGATTGCAATCTGAGAGAGTTTCTCAGAGAATTTCTGTTATACTACGCCAAAGCAGTGTTTCAGCCCATTATTTATATACTAGGTGGAGAAGGTTCTGCAGGTACTTAGAAGTTGCATTAGAGCATTATGTTACATTATGGCTCTGTAATCTATAACCACATGTATTCTTGCATCACAGTTTGGGTGCAAGAATACACGTGGTTATAGATTACAGAGGCATAATCATCAATCCTGTCAAACATTACAGAAAATCCTATCAAACAGTACAGGCAAAGGCAAGGGCTAGTATAATTGAACATATCTTTTCTGAAAATTTAGTGATTCAGGCAAGAGACATGGGAACCTGTACTCTATTCTGCTTATCATCTTCAAGGAATTCTGGGGAGCTGTGCTCAGTGTAACTGATACAGGGGTTTGTAAAGTTAGGCTGACAAGCAGAATGAGCAAATATGGCTTCTTCCTGACAAGGGCCAACTGGCCAAAGGCAGATGCTTCCTACTTTGTCTTATAAGTTGCTCCTTTTGGTCAGAAACCAACCATCCAGCTACATTTACAAGACAGGTGTTGATTGTCTCTCATAGTTAGGAAGGCTCTTTTCTAGGAAAGCTGATAGTATCAATTTTAATTGTAAGGAACCAACGTTGAACCCAGTGTGCATACCTGCCTATTCATCAGAAAACAGGCTTCGGATTGCATCTATTTTCTAACAAGTATGTTTTTTTCCCCCTCTGACGTTGCTTTTTCCTGCACCCAATACAACACCTCACCTGGACTATTACAAGGATACTACAGATTACACAGAGCAGTATATGATGTATTTAATAGCATCGAAGTGAGTTACAGATTGGAAAAAACATAACTATCCAATAAAATTGGAATATACATTTGTATATTTGTAACCTTACTTATACTATTTTTTCCTTTTTGATCAAATGTTTTCTCATGGAAACATTGATGATTAATCTCTGCCTGGGTTAGAGTGATAGATGTTCCCTGTCTTTTGGTGCTGGGAAGGCTTATTCCCAATAAGTCATGTCCCTCAGCCAGGAGTGGTGGGAGAGACCCTTGCTTTTGCTGGTAGTCCATATTGCTAGAAACATAGGGTAGGTCATAACACAAAACTATATGCTATTCTCCTGAGTAACAAATCATCTCCAGACACAGCAATGTCTCAAACAAAATGTTATAAAAATCACTTTAAGTTTCAGCTACTTAGAAGGCTGAGGCGGAAGGATCGCCTAAGCCCAGCAGGTCAAGGCTGCAGTGGCCGTGAGTATGTCACTGCACTCCAGCCAGGGCAACAAAAGTGAGACTCCAACTCAATAAAAAAAAAAAAAATCACTTTAGTCCTTCATCAGTTCAGTCCTGTGTAATCCTTGTTCTGCTTGATGTTTAGCAGTCTTCATGAATACCCCCTAGAGTACTGGATGTTTTTATTTAGTCAATTTATGTACTTGTTAGAGTCTTGTCCATAAGAAACAATTTTGGATTATAGCTGAATGCAAATGTTTTTAGAGAAGAATTCAAAACAATAATTGTAGATGACAAAAACGTAGAATAGCCATGGTTAAAATCTGATGAAAACTCTCAATTGAGAAGAAAATTTAGTTATTTCTATGATATGGAACATTTTGTGATAATAAACAGAATCATGAATGACAGTGTCACACCAGGGCCTTCAGACTTTTACAAATTTCACATAATCTTTAGAATACTCACATTAGCTGGGCTCGGTGGCTCAGCCTGTAATCCCGCGCCTTTGGGAGGCTGAGGTGAGTGGATTGCCTGAGCCTGTGGGTTCGAGACCCGCCTGGGCAGGCAAGACCTCATCTCTACAATAAATAAGAAAAAAATTAGCCGGGCTTGGTAGCGCGTGCCTGTAGTTCCAGCTACTTGGAAGGCTGAGGCAGAAGAATCGCCGGAGCCCAGCAGGTCGAGGCTGCGGTGGCTGGGAGCGGCCATTGCACTTCAGTCTGGGTGACAGAGTGAGACTCCAATTCAAAAAACAAACAAACAAACAAAAAACAAAACAAAAAAGAATACTCACATTAATAATATATCCATACAAATATACCTTTAGAAAAGATTTAATATACCAATCAAAATTATGACTGATAACATATTAGTTTTATGAACTTATGTAATTTTTAGAAAATTTATATTAATAACATACCCATAAATGTAACTGAAAGATCCAGTATAATTTATTTTTGACAATGCTTTCCATATAATTTATCAAATATGTCTAATTATTTAATATCTATACAAGATGAGATATACATTCTTTGATGCCCTCCAGGGGCCCAACTGGAAAATTGCAAAGTTAGTGTTAGGCCAAAAAGACTTAGTTTAGGAATCAGATTCTG